AAAAAAAAATCTATTAACTGAGTTGACCGACTAAAAGCACAGTTCCTTGTATCATGAAATGAAATTCACTATGTAAAACCTGAACATCAAATAAAGATTTCAAGTAATATTTTTATTTTATTACATATGAAATGTTTCTAAGAAATAAGTTGCATATTTGGAATTCAAAGAACACTAGTAAGTTATTATAAATCATGTAAGGGTGGAAAGGGGGAAAGATAGAATACAATATAATGCCTCAGTATTCAGTTGCAGCAAATAATCATTGACTAATTTTGGAAGCACAGTTCTTCATATTTGTCTGATGTACTTACTTTTGTTTCAATCGGATATAGGAAGTTGATAAATTGTTCCACGCTTCAGCATTCTGAAATGACAGAAAAGCCAGCTGCAGAATATTCTCACTTAGGAAATACTTACTCAAACCTAAAATCTAACAGTATAATATATGCTCTTTTAAATCTCAATTTTCAATAAGGTATGTTTAAAAGCAAAATATATATTTTTTTCTTGTTTTGGTATGGGGATCGAACTCGGGACCTTGTGCTTGTAAGATAGGCAGCGGAACCAGCTAAATCCCCAGCCCTAAAATATATAAAATTAAAACCAAAATTAACTTTTGTAATGTATAAAAATTTCAAAAATTAGCCAAGCAATGATAAAACTATTATAGCACTGATTTGGAAATTTCTTAAGATTTTATTTTCAAATTTAGATTGACGAAATAGTTGGAAATTTTACAACAAAATTCACAGAGCATATACATTTATTACAAAGCCAAGGAATGTAACAATGGGCTTTGTATTTTAAAAGGCTTTGCCTTTTACTATCATCTTTCTTCATCAGACAGGAGAGCAAGACTGAACAGTGTTCTCCAGTGTTATTCCTCTATCGTCATCCAAACACATTTCTCTCCCTATTCCTATACCCAATACAAAAATAAAGTTTTTAGAAAAATGTTGACGCTAACAAGAATGATATGGATTATATTTGTTCTTTTTTTCTACTTTCAAAGTAAAATGTACAATATGTAGTTCTCAATTCCATACCTATGAACCAAAAACTTAGGTGGTACTGAATCTCCTCTTTCCGACAGAGCTGGCACAGCACAGAGTAACATACAAAGCCACAACTCAGACAAAATATAGGAAGCAACTATTTTGGAGAAGGTGGACAACAAGCAGCACAGAAGTGTGATCCTGGAGAGGAGGGGAAAACTAAGGCAACCTAGCCTCAAAACCAACCCAGCATTCTGTTTAGAGGCACTTCCGGGACTGCAGCACAGAGGCAAAACCAAACAAAGCACAGCAAGTCCCACTGAGATGAAGAAAAAAGAATCAGTGTTCAGGGTCAAAAAGGCAGCTGGAATTTGCAGAGCAAAATACCACAGAAGAGAAATATGCGCTTCGAGAATGACCTCTAGAAATTTCAACAAACATCCCCCGAGTCCTTGGCTGAATACTGTCATCCAGATGCAAGACAAAACTTCTTGAGTCGGACAAAGAACAACCACCAGACAGCTGGGAGCTGAATGAAAATTTGGAAGTCACACAGGAGTTATTCAAGTTCCAACCAGACTGGAGAATTCTTATTGATTACTCGTGGCATTAAATTTAATCCCCGAAAGGTTTTATCTTAACAGAAGGATTTTTATAAGAAAAATGCCACATTTAAGCTTATCCTAACAATGTTTAAATCAAGACGATCCATAAGTAGACTAAGAAAAACTCAAAATAAAAACCTTCTTGAGAAGTAAAAAGTCCAGAAACTCACCAACACGGCATCTACAAGACATAGGATAAAATAGACTTAATGATGACTATTCAAAGAAACAGTGAATTTCCATTCTTAACCAAAGGAAATATCAGTTAATGGAAACAGTCCTGGAAATTAAAAAGATGTTGGAATAAGCATACAAGGAGTTTACTATATTATATAGATTATGTTCAAAGACTTTACAAAAAAAAAAAAAA